AGGTGTACATCCTGAAAAGGAAATGGAGTATTATGCTGGTTGTCGCTTTTTTGTTTGTTGTAGTGAGACTTATTCAAACAGTTCTGCAGAAACAAAACAAAACAAAACAAAAAAACAGCGTTTTTCAAGTTGTCTGTTTCTAACTTAGCACTACAATATATAGTAGGAAAAGCGTAGCTTACTGATTGGATTGAAATCGCACTAAGTGTTGCCTGAATTACTGAAGCATAAGATTTTATTCACCTACCTGTTCTCCCATCATGTACCAGATTCTAGGCAGTACACATTATGGTGCTATATACTAGGAAGCAAGGAAACAAAGCATAATACAAGTCTTAAAACAAATATAGGCAGACTCTAGCCTACTCCAATCTGTCAGTATTTATCTAAACAGGTGAAGCTTATCTCACAGCTCTTTGGATGCATCCATTTTCCCTCATACACCTCCTTGATGGTATTAGAAAAGAACAGTAGGGCAAACTCCAAGAGAAAAAGAGACAAATACAGGAAATTCCTAGATAAGAAAAAAGCCTGAAGAAAAAAATCAGTTTGCCAATAAGAATCATGGAGAATATGCTCTAGGGCATCCAGCACCAATTGCATGGGCACACAATGACAAGTACAAAGTTAGGTTGAATCTGCTGGGACCCTATGTCTTCTTTGCGTGTCCCATTCTGCAGCACAGTGGTGGCTCTGCCCCTCAAACTGCCTATATACCTACTCCCACTGATTTGATTCTACACAGCCAGTTTCTGCAGTTAGCCCTAGCCTTCCCCTGTTATGCAGTTCAAATATGGACTCCTACTTCCTTAATTTTCCATTGGTGGCAACTTCTCAGAGGAATGGTGTTTTAAACTGACTGAAGACCTCAGGAATAGAGCCTTTTTACTCCTTTTCTTGCTTCTTAGCATGATGGTGATTGTTGGAATAATTTACAGGAAGGGAGGAGATGCACAAATTGAATTACTGGTGATGAGTAATTTCCCTTGGTTTTAAAGTGGGCTCAATGTGGAATGTATCAGAAACCTAGAAAAGTTAATGTTACCAAATTACAGGGAACTGTCAGTGGTTTCCATATATATTGTATTATATATTTTGGCACTGAGTTCATGATGCATGGAAAACATCTGTAGCAGCTGGTCTTAACCCAGATTTGTCTTCCTAACCATCAATTATCACTTTACAAATGGCTTACATTACAAACAACATAAAGTATTGGTCATAGACTTTTTGCTTCATTCTTGTGTCAGGTATCAGAAGAAAAATAACAACTTTTATTTTAAGCCTTATTCATTTCTTAGGGACTTTTCCTGTGGAACATACTGAGTGCTTCTAGCTTTTGTTTGCAGCTCAAATCAGCCAGCAGGTACAGACCTTTGTGTTCATTGTGGGAATAATCCAGTGACATTTCATGAACTCATCAACCACAGACATTTTTAGGGTTATTTTAGCAATCCAACTGTTTGTTTTTAGAGAGAAATTTTCTTCATATTCAAGGAAATGCAACTGCAAAGGAAACAAGCATTGGGGGAAAATTGGACTTATTGGGTGTTTACAGACATGCTCCGGAGGGAGGGAGGGTGGAGCCACTCTAATTAAAGTGCTCAGAATGTCACATGCATCAGTGTTCCTCACTGAAAAATGGCAGTGGGGCACTTTAACTAAAGCTTGTCAAATGAGCAAAGTTAAAGGGCCCCTGCCACCATTTTGCAGCATGGGGACGCTGATACATGTGACGTTGGAGTCTGCTGGAGTGCAGTAATTACCACGCTCCAGCAGGCTCAATTAATTGAGTCTGCTCCAACATGCTATAATTACAGTGCATTGGAATAGCCACTCTTCATGTGTATAGGTGCCCATTTAGTCTGGAGAAGAGACGACTGAGAGGACATTTAATGGCAGCCATCAACAACCTGAAGGGTGGTTCCAAAGAGGATGGAGCTCAACTGTTCTCAGTGGTGGCAGATGGCAGTACAAGGAGCAATGGTCTCAAGGAGCAATGGTCTCAGAACAAGGAGAAATGGTTTCAAGTAGCTGCAAGGGAAATTTAGATTGGGTATTAGGAAAAAAAATTTGCTAAGAGGGTAGTAAAACACTGGAACAGGTTATCCAGACAGGTTGTGAACTCTGTATCCTTGGAGATTTTTAAAACTTAGCTAGACAAAGCCTTGGCTGGAATGATCTAGTTGGGGATGGTTGTGCTTTGAGTGGGGCATTGGACTAGATGACCTCCTGAGGTCCCTTCCAACCCTAATTTTCTATGATTCTATGAAAATAAGAGAAGGCCAGAGTGAATACTGCTGAAGTGTGACTAGCTCTTTTTCTATCCTCCCATTGTCATATTGGACTATTTCAATTCAACAAACTTAATCCAGTTCCCCTCACAATCCTCAGAATAAAGAGGACACATGAAACCTATCCAAAGAAAAGTCATGTTAAAAAAGTTAACAGGTGTTTGAGTGACAAATTCTACAGTAGAGTAGCAAGACGGTTCCATACAGATCGGTTTTAGCAGCTTAACTGCTACTGATTAAAATAGATCTACAACATCCACCAATCTCTTTCTATTTATCCTCTGTCTCTGTATTATTAAACAACCTTTTACCCAGGTTTATAGAACTTGTTTGTTTTCTCTACTATCTGTTTTTAGTATCTTTCTAGTACAGTGAAATCTTGATTCATTTCCTTTGCTTGGCTGACATTTTTTAAAAAACTTAATACTGACCCAAGTCATGCTGGCCTCAGTAACAGGGCAGTGTGCAGAATGCCTGCTAACTTCCAATATTTACATTATCTCATTTAAGCCCTAACGTAGAAGAATTTCTGTCTCCCTTTCTTCATCTTCCCAGGTTTTTATCCCATGGTCTCATGTAGCTTATTCTGAAAGATGCTCAATCTGAGATCTTAGTTGAGCTCTACAGATTCCTTCTTGGGAAAAAAGATTTTCCCTATTCCTTCTCAGTCTTCATCTACTTCATAGCTTTCTACCTGATTAACGTTTAGTAGAAATGTATTGCGTGTCATTATTTTAATCATAATTTTGATTAAAGTAAATAATTCAGAAAAAGATGGAGAAAAACAAAAATAACATTATTTGTTGTTGTTATATGCTATTTGGCAGTCTCTTTCCTGCCAGAGAAGATGATTGTCCCCTTCATCAAAATGTTTAATTTAAGTAAAACAAGCAGCATTTGCATTTTCTGTTATTGACTGACAACAATTTCCACACCTGGGATGCAAGGAGAAATTATTTTAATGGATTACAGCCCACCATTTTCAGGAAAAACAGGGTCCATAAGGTTTATTTAGAGGTACGATGTTAAACCTACTTTTATAGACAGAGCCACTGCCCCTATTTTGGTAATATTGAATCATAAAGTACATAATATATTTCTTCTACGCAGTTCTTTCTAATTTCTTCACTGCTAAGGATGGTAAATATGTTGATTGTTCAAGAGAAAGCAGCAATTCAAGCTATGAAATGGTTCTCCAAAATGAATTTGGAATCTTTACACTTTATAATAGTCTTGCCCATTATCACATAGGGAAAACAAGGGTGGGAAATCATCTTTTCAGAGTACTAGTTCCATGCATTAAATGCAAAATAGCAGCCTTTCTTCTTCTGAAATTCATTGTCTCATTTATTGTCTCTCTTGTGCACTGAATGAGGCAGGAAAAAACCAAATAGTATGTGACTGTTTATTAAAGTTAGTATCCTGTTGCATGTGCAGGATGAGGCCAAATTCCCTACATTTTAAATTTTTTAAACTGGGTGAAGAGCCAGAGCTGCATAAAAAGGTTTCACAAGCTCTGATTTCTGAAGAAGATAAACTGGGGGAGGATCATGTGCTTTGAGGCAGTTGTAAGGATACCTCCCCATGATGTCTTCATGTTCCTTGGAGCAGATGGCAAGTATGAGTAGAAATAGTGGGCAGTACAGGGATCTTGCTGAAGTGTCCACAGGGTTGACTAGATTCTGCTGGGGGTCTCTTCAGCTCCCAGGTCAGTTCAGGATAACACAGTGCAAATGCACCATTAGGCCACTATATCTCCTCTTTTTGGGGGTCAGATGATGAATCTCACTTGATTTTCTTTTTTTTTGCATTTAATTTCTTGGATTTTAAAAAAGCAAATTGAAATCTGAACTCTCTTGATGCATCTGTTTATGGCTCACAGGAATTAGCAGCAGGGTAGGAAGCCAGGACCTTTGCCCTGCAGCACAGGCCACCATTTGCATTGCAAGAGTAACTGGTAATGTCTGGAGGCTGTTATCACCTTGTCAACCAGCCATTAGTAGTTGTGTGAGCCTTGGGTGAATGTGGCATTTTTAATACTGACAAAACTGCCTATTTTCTTCTGATCTTGTGCTCAGAACTAAATTAAATGGTGTCAGTCCTAATGGAAAGTTTGGCTGCATACTCGCATGCAGGGGTGTGCACTTGCAGTAGCAAAAAAAAGTAGCAGCACAAAATTGTGCCATTACTTTTTGCCACTGCACACACCCCTGCATGTGGGGAAACAGTTTCCCTACTCCTCCCAGCTCCTGGCACGCTGGAGAAGCAGGAGCAGAACTGAAGTTGGGGAGACACTGGGGCCAGCAGCCTGTTTGCCAGTGTATGTTCCTGTGGCGTGCTTTTTTTTTTGTGTTGATTTACTGGATTTCCCAGTAGCAAATTTTGCCCCCATGCTGCAAATTTGCAGCATAGGGCACATGTTAACATTCTGGGTAAGTGGTTTGCAACACCACAAACCTCATGTGCCTTCACAACTGGATCCGGCCTTTCAGTCCTAATGGTTAACGCTTGGCAACTGTAAAGAGGAGTTAATGCAGAGTGTTAGGCAACCTTATTTACAGTATGGTCACCAACTCCATCACAAAGCTTTAAAGAATGTTACCAAGAGAAAAGCCTTTATAAGCCAAGTTACATTTTTACAGTGATTGTCCAAAAATCTTTAGTTTGAAGGCAAGTAAACCTAAGTCTTTCTGACTTTCCCCACAGATGCCAGGATGAATGCCCAGTGGGGACTTATGGACTGCAATGTGCAGAGACCTGCCAGTGCATGAATGGAGGGAAATGCTATCACATTAGTGGCACCTGTCTGTGTGAGCAAGGATATACAGGAGAACACTGTGAAACAAGGCTTTGCACTGATGGGGTCTATGGTCTCAAGTGTGACAAAAAGTGTCCGTGTCACTTGCCCAATACCAGAAGGTATGTTTTTACAGATTTTAGTAGGTTTTCTCTGAATGGGCCATTTCATCAAGAATGTAATTTAAAAGCAAATAAATTCCTAGGTATCCAGTTCTTCCATGCAAACGTCAGGCATGCTCACAAACATGCCTATTCTTTTTGGAAGTACAACAAAAATACAATATCAAGCAGGGAAAGAGCTGCAAATTTTTTGTGCTTGCAACTTTATTAGATGTCTTTAAATAGAAACTGATAAATTTTGATATTCATCTTAATATTATCCCAGGAGACAAACCTTGACCCAGGCCTGGCCTTTCTCTATATTTACCTCACATAAAAATAATCTTTATATTTTTCACCATATCAGTTCAACAGTCTGTTGAACTGATATGGTATTGCAAATCAAGAATAACTGTATTGAAGTTAACAGAAAGGCCTTTTTGTAAGGCCAGTGTGAGATGAGAGTCATGTCTGGTCCTGTGTGGCTGGAACATGTTCTTTATTTTAATGAAAATTTCTGGAATCCACTCTGTTACGGTTATGCATTTCAGAAGGGGTAACTGGTCAAACTAGCATACTAAAAAGAAGGTGAACTCTGATGCCAAGAAGCTGAATAAAGTTATTTGTATATGGGATATGGTTGGGTTACATTTCCTTGTATCTTTGTATTGTTGTCAGAGAATTGAACTAATTTAAATTCCCTGGCTCATCATTACAACTGTTTGCAGATAATCATGAGCCAGAAACTTTTTTGTATCGACACATCCTATAAATCCTTAACATGCTGCTATAAAAACTGATCTATCGGAAGCTCTAAAATAATCTTTGTAGATAGTGAGCAAGGGATAACAGTTAAGGCAAGATAGTGTAGTATTTATAAAACAATTCTTATTATAAGGCTTATCATCTTCCAGAAAACTTTCTTTTATAGGAAAGACTCTAGTCATTTTGCCTGTATTTACACAGAATTCCGTTAATAATACACAGTAGGTGTGTTTACATGTTCATTAATGCACCATGGTTACTGCGTATTCAGTTTAGTACCTGTAACAACAGGTACAAACTGAATGCACAGTAACTGGTGCTGCTGTACAGTAGTGCCAGTGCACAGCTTTTTGTGATGCTAATGTGAAGTAGACTAATTCTACTGTGCATTTGCACATTAGCACAGCTTTTGCCATGATGCGCTAATGCGCAGTAGAATTAGCCTACTGCACCTTTAGCATCTTGTGTAGACACACCCAGTATGTCAGATAAGTTTTGTGAACATATTCTAAAGGCTTTGCTATTACAGGTTGCTGAAATGATTTAGACCAGTGCTATCTCGTATCCAAAATGCATCTTTTAAAATGTTTTTATCCTTTTACTCAGAACTTAGAAAAGACATTTAACTGCATGGAGTCATTAATGAAAATATTTCTGTCTGACTCTTTGTCAGTATGACCCTGTAAGAGGGTACTGTGCAAAACAAATTCTTAGATGGTTCAAAGTGTTCGCATAACTTCTGTTGCCAAGCCAAGTGAAAGTGGGTTGCACTCCTTTCCAGTTTCATTCACACGCTTATACACTGATGTGTTTGTAACTTTGTTTATCCCAGTCACTTGAAGTGTGATTTGAAAAAAACATATTTTTGTACAATACATAATATTCATAGTTTCATAGTTTCTAGGGTCAGAAGGGACCTGAGCAGATCATCTAGTCCGACCCCCTGCCATGGCAGGAAAGAGTATTGGGGTCAAACGACCCCAGCAAGGTGTTCATCTAACCTCCTCTTAAAAACCCCTAGGGTAGGAGCCTGCACCATCTCTTTTGGAAGTTGGTTCCAGACCCT